TGGGTGCACACAGCGCTGCTTCAGGAAGAAGACACACCTACTGTCCCACCCATGCCCCCCACTGCGCCCGGCACACCCCTTCCCACTCAGCCGTCACCCCCTGTGCACTGAGAGCATTCCCACCACCACCCTGAGCAGCCGCATGAAGGCCACAGGCCTGCTCGGGACGGGCTGTGGGCTGCAGGCTGGCCTCTGCCTGCGACACCGGGGCCCGAGGCGCTCAGCACTCGCCCCCACACTCCACTCCTGTCACTGCTCCCAGAAGCTCTGGGCTCTGAGGAGAGGGTGGATCAGAGAGGGTGAGCGCAGTTCCCGAGGTGGCACAGCACTAAGTGGCCTGGGCTGCGTGGACCGTAGGGGATGCTGCTCTAGTGACTTGCAGACCCCGCAGAACAGCTGAGAACCAGCGAAGCAAACCGTCCCAGGAGGTTCTGTTAATCCCGTTTTTATTTTCTGTATTTTCAGATGGTTGGACTCCCCGGGGCCTTGCGAATCCCAGACACACTGCCCCTCGCTGGGTAGGCTAAATCGCATGGGTCAGAGGTTTGCCTGTGCTCTGGCCACCTCCTCCATCTGGCCCCGCCCCCTCTGCCCTAATCCCTGAGGCGGGGCTGACCCGAGGGGTAGCCCCTGCACCCCCACACTGCCTGCCAGGGCCAAACCTGGTTGGCTGGCCCTGCAGACCTGCCTGCCTGCTGGCCCGCGTGGGGGCCGTCTCCTGATCTGCTGGCCTCCCTAGCCGACTGCACAAATCCCGGTTTCACGCTCAGGCAGAACCGCACATGCTCAGTAATGGGGTCCGGCAAGCACCTCTTATTCACGCTCACAGGGATCTGTGGGGTGACCGTGGTCAACAGCGATGAGGTACTCGAGGCCTCGACAGGTCAACAACTGTCTGGGTCCCAAGAGCAGTGCTCTGAGGCCAGGTGGGCCCAGGCCCTCTGGTTGCCCCGACGTCGGGCTCTCCATCGGGGCTCTGCGGGTTCAGGCTGAGCCATGGGCGCAGGGTCTGCTGGGGGCGCACAGAGGCGGAGCCTCTCGAGCAGGGCACCTTGGGGCCTCAGCCCAGCAGAGACAGGCGAGTGCTGCCGCTCCAGGGCCCCTGAGTCTCAGGCTGAGGTTTCCACACAGGAAGCTGCCTTGAAACACCTGGCATCTAGGGAGGGTCAGCACCGGGAGCGTGGGAGCCTCGTCTCCCTGCGCCACCAGGCGAGGCTGAGTCCCGGTTGAGCAGGCGCCCGGGATGCTGTGAAGCGGGGGGAGGGGAGACGGCTGAAGGCGGGCACATCCCTCAAGGTCCGGGTGAGGGAGGGACTCACCCATGCGTCCGTCCTGGGGAGGACTGATCAGGGAGACTCTGGTGGGGCCGGCTGGCTCGGGCTAAGGACGGGAAAAGGGAACAGTGGGTAACATCACTGTTTTCATGGGTAATGAGAGCCCCTCCGCCCTGAGAACACAGCCCCTCGCCAGCCTGCCGTGCCCGCCGTGCCAGTCTGCTGGGATGTAGCCCCGTGAGACAGGGTGTCCCACTGGCCCCCACCGTGCCCCTGGCCCCCACAGCAGTGAGTGGACAAGGAATTTGCTAGGTGCTTCTAAGAATTTTGGAACAGAGAAAAAGCAGACAGTTTTAGGTGACATTAGCTATTTTAAAATCCTGAGTAAATCCTCATTTTCGGTGCAAAACCGTCACCTGGAAACCCAGGTGTTGATGACGAGGCCTGGTACTTCCCTGGCAGGGCCCGCATGCTGGGCCGGCTCCCAGCCAGGCACACGCCAGCGTCACCCATGTTTCTCTCACGGTGAAGCTGACCCACCTCCTCACCAACAGGTTGTCAGGGGATCCTGGATTCACTCATCCCGGTTCCCACCACTTGCCCAGGTGGAGGCAGAGCATGGCGGCAGCCCACCACATGTCCCATGCCAGCGTGGCCCTGCCTCCTGCGGCAGCATGGTCAGGAAGGAGCGGCCACGGTCAGGAAGGAGCAGCCACGGTCAGGAAGGAGCGGCCACGGTCGGGAAGGAGCGGCCACGGTCGGGACTGAGTGGCCACGGTCGGGAAGGAGCGGCCACGGTAGGGAAGGAGCGGCCACGGTTGGGACAGAGTGGCCAAGGTCGGGACTGAGTGGCCACGGTCGGGACTGAATGGCCACGGTCAGGAAGGAGCGGCCACGGTCAGGAAGGAGCGGCCACGGTCGGGACTGAGTGGCCACGGTCGGGAAGGAGCGGCCATGGTCGTTAGCGCTGAGAAGCAGGAGGCCCTGAACATGCAGGAAACACGACACACAGGGGAACAGACTACTCACCCTTCTCAGGGGGGAGGGCGTGAGGTCGACCTCCATGGGCTCCACTCTGTAAACCGACAGCCAGACAGTTACTGGCCTGAGACTTGGAGCGACTGACACACGCACGATGCCCAGGACGCCCGTCTCCATCCTCCTTGTTCACACTGGGCCCCATCAGTCACCTCCCTCTTAGCTCTTTACTGGCTGCCACTTGTCTGTCAGACCAAACCCAGCCCCACACACGGAGGGAGGGCCTGTCGAGCTCTGGGGAGGCCCTGTGTGGCCGGCCTAGGGCATCTCAAGTGCAGGTGGCCTCCTCCGGCTGTGTCTCTGCTCAGGGACAGGGACAGGGACAGGCAGTGCGGGCGGATGCTGCCAGGTCCTGGCAGTCGCCCTGGAGTTGCAGCATCTCATTTGCTTTAGGTGCCGCTCACTGCTGGGCTCACTGCACACAATCAGTGCTCGTAGGGCCAGCTCCTTAACTTACTGCTCCAGGCTGACAGAGAAGCATCACTTGGGCTTCCCCACAGGAGGAAAGGGCATGGAGGGAGGGAGGGAGGGAAGGAAGGATGGAGGGAAGGAGGGAGGGAGGAAGGGAGGGAGGGGGAAAGGGAAGGAGGGAGGGAGAGAAGGAGGGAACCAATCGCCGAGTCACTTTCTGGCTGCGCGCTCAGTGCCAGGCCCGCTGCCCTTGGGACACAGGGACAGGCAGTGCGGGCGGACGCTGCCAGGGCCTCCGGTGTTGCATGTGGACCCAGCTCCTAGCATTTCAAGGAAAAACAGGTGGAGGAGGGATGCTCTCTAGGAACCGGCCACCAGGGATGGGTAGGGTCCCCAAGGGTCACCACCTCTCGTCCTGTCCCCTGTGCCAGATTTGTTTCTGAGCTGCCCTGGGAGAGAGTCCCACCCGAGTCACATGACCACTCCTCCACCAGCCGCCAGGCCACAGGGACAGGACTGGGATGGGCCAGCCCCCAGGCCCTGGCGATGAGTAAGAGCGGCTGCGGGGCGAGCTCCTGGGGCCTGTGCTGAGCATCAGAACGTGGGAACCTGGAGGGGTGGAGGGTGGCAGGAGGGGCGTGGGTGGCAAAGAAGGACCTGCAGCTCCTGAGTTGTAACAATTGTACTGGCCCCCGCGCCCCCAGCCCTGCACACACACCTCTCGGAGGAGGCGGAGGAGCCGGGAGGCCGGAGCAGCTGTCCGCGGGGCTCTGCTGAAGGAGCTGTGACAAAACACCACAGGGTGAGGGCGCGCCTGCCCTCGGCTCTGCCTGCCCTGGGCTCTGCCCTGGCACGTCCTCGGCTCGCCGCACAGCAGGCCACCACTTACTTGAAACTGGACTTCTTAGCGCGCTGAAGGCTGTGTGTTGGGACGGTCTCATACTAAACAGATGGGGAGAGGGATTGATAAACCATAAGAACTTATTTCCAACCACAGGGCAGGGCTGAGACCCCCTCGGTCCCTCACCAGCGCCTCGCCCGCCCAGCGCTCACTTTCATCCCAGAGGCCCTGAGGAGAGCGCCCGGCGGGAGGCCCTGAGGCTGGCACACAGCGGCAGGGCTGGGCCCATCAGCGCCTCTGCAGCACTTCCCGCTTCCCAACGACCCTAAAACTGGGCACGTGGGAGGCTGTCTCTCCAGACCACGTGGGACAGAAAGCAGGGCAGGGACCCCTGACCCCAGGATGCCTGCGAGGGAGCGTGGACATGGGTGAGGGAGCCGGCCGGCGGGGTGTGTGGGCCCACCCTGCGGGAAAACCAGGCCACACTGGCGTGCACCGACTGCATCACCTAGAGGACCTGCACGAGCGCGAGCCGAGGAGGAGGCAGGCCTGGCCTCTCGAGGGTTTCAGGGCAGGAAATAGACTGCCCAGTCACGGCCCGGTCACGGTGACAGAATGTTCTAGACCAGCGGTTCTCAACCTGTGGGTCGAGACCCCTTTGGGGGTCGAACGACCCTTTCATAGGGGTCGCCTAAGACCATCGGAAAACACATATATAATTACATATTGTTTTTGTGATTAATCACTATGCTTTAATTATGTTCAATGTGTAACAATGAAAATACATCCTGCATATCAGATATTTACATTACGATTCATAACAGTAGCAACATGACAGTTATGAAGTAGCAACGAAAATAATTTTATGGTTGGGGGTCACCACAACATGAGGAACCGTATTAAAGGGTTGCGGCATTAGGAAAGTTGAGAACCACTGTTCTAGACGGCTGAACCGAGCAGTGAAATAAGCTCGAGGGAGAGGTAGGAGCAGAAGGACTGGAGCCTGAAGGACGCTCGTAGGCGGCAGGGAGCCTTGCGAGGAGGGCCAGCCTGCGGGGGCCTCAGAGGGCCACAGCTGGAACTTTCCAGAATGATGAGATGATTGACAGAGAGAAAGCAGGTTATACGAAGGGCGACGAATAGAAGGGCCCCCTGCACCCAGGTCTCACTCGGAGCCACGCCCCAGGGGGCCTGTCAGGCTCAGGCCACAGAGCCTCCCGTGCTGCTGCCCACAGGCCTCTGGCAGCATTGCCACGTTCCCAGCGAGGGCTGGGGTGCACCCTCAGAAAGCAGCCTGTGATGGCGGCGGGTGGGCCGAGGCCGAGCGGGACCAGCGTGCCCAGCTCCTGCTGCAGCCCAGCCACAGTGCACCGGGCACCTGCACACACAGCCGGCTGGACAGCAGCCCCTTAGGACCTCGGCGCCATGGCCTTCACATGAACGTGTCTCACCACACTGGGCTTCTGAGTATTCAGCCGCGTCCCACAGCACCGCCTTCCCTGACCGCGTGGACCGTGCAGGGACGGCAGCCTGTGCTCATCTTCCATGACCGCCATTCCTGGGAAAAGGCCCAGGCTGCGGCCGCCCCGGAGGTGGAGGGGCTGCCCCTCTCCAGCTGGGTCGCTGGCTCTGCTCCCCAGCCCCTCCCGTGGCCTGGGAGTCACAGGACAGGACGCCCCCTGGGAAACCACTCCTCTTTGCTGTGTCTTCTCCTCTCCCCTCCTTCCCCAGACGGCCCAGCGCACCTCTGCCCTGACAGCTTCTGGGAAATAGGGCCCCTTGTTAGGGCCGCGGCCTGGGAGGCAGCGAGCGGATGCCTGGCTGGGCTCAGGGGTGGGGGGTGCAGGGGGGGGGGGGGCGTGGTGCAGACCTACCTTTGCAGCTGCTCCACCCGCAGCATCGCCTTCCTGAGGGACTCCTCCAGCCTGGCGATCTGCACACAACACAGGGACTCGGTTACCAGGCTGACGCCAAGTGACAGTGCACAGACACGCGGACCCTCCATTCTGACACGCGGACCCTCCATTCTTACACCCGAGGCAGCACATGAGTCAGGAGGGAGCTGCCTGGGCCTGGGGCAGTGTGCAGGGGCAGACCCGGCTGTGGCCAGGTGCAGACAATACCCACAGGGGCCGGGGATGGGTGGCGACACGTCCCCTCTGGGCAGACCCACCGCAGGCCTGGCCTGGGGCATGTAAGGAGGGCAGACGGCAGGAGACACCAAGCACTTGCGGGCCAGGCCTCAGGGCAGCAACGCCTCACACCTTCCCTGTCGCACACAGAGAGGTCACCGCCACAGGATGGACACCAGGCAGCTTCCACACTCCAGGGGGTGGCCACAGGGTCTGTGGCTTCAAAGCCAGGCCCTCACCCTACTTACTCCCTAACCTTCGATGGTTTTTTAAAAACACGACGGGATGAATGAATAGAGAACTGTCTAAGCTGCTCTGAGGCCCAGACATCACTCCCGGCCAGGTGAGGCGGCGGCCATGGGTGTGTGCCGTGGCGCGGCCCCAGCACAGGAAGCTGACCTGGCCCCTTCGCCCTCTGCCGGCTGCTGCGCGCTCTCCTCTCTGTGCCTCCCGTCCCTGTCCCTCCGGGAGGCCTGACCCGAGCCAGCCCAGCTGCCCCTATGGAGCTTCCTCCCCTGGAGCTTCCCTTACCCTCACTCAGCTCAGCTCACCAATCAGGGAGGAGGATGCTTGTCGCTCCCGGGGAAGGACCAGTCAGAGCTCACTAGAGTCGGTTTATGAAAAGTGCCCGGTGAGTGGGGGGCACCACAGGCCAGAAGTGGGCCCCGAGATGAAACTGGCCCAGTGACTTCTGGCCCTGAGCATCGCGGTGGCGGACAGGAGCCGTGCAATGGGCTGAGGGTCCACGGGACGGATGCCCACCTCCCGGCCCTCCACCCTGAGATGTGGGGTCGGGTCACAGGGTCCCATGAAGTTGAGATGGGGTTTACCTTTTCTCTGTAGAAGGCTAACAGCCTCTTTCTGTGTTTTTCTTGAAATTCTGAAATCTGGGAAGATGACACAGGTCAGCTGCTGCAGTGGCACATGGCCACACTGTGCATCCCCCAGACACACCCTGCTGCCTGCCTGACCCGGGGCTGCCTGCGTCTTCGCGACCTTGGTCACCCCGCCGTGCATGCAGAACGCAGCGGGCACGCTCACACAGGGAGCATGCCCCACTGAGGGCAGGAACACACAGGGCACTGTCCCTCTCT